GGGGTCATCACCTCTGCATTTGGGACAGATCCGATCCTCGCTGCTCCTAAAGACACAGGAGCACATCTGGCTGAATGAGACATTCATGACGCCCTGGCACCAACCTGTTTTGAAAGCTCCAAAACACCTAGGCCCTGCCCAGCGTGGTGCCTGATGCCAGTGCGCATGCAGGTCCACAATCCCAGACCCACCGTTCCCAAACCTCAACAGCACTGGGGACCCAATGTCTTCTGCAGTTTGCAGTGAGCGTCTTTGGCAGCCAAACCTGACCTCGAAGTGACTGGAGGCTGTGACGCCATTTAGTGTGAACATTGGTTTCACTGCAGAAATAGTAATAGGCTCGATCATAAGGTGCTGTCCTAATCCCCACGGGAAGAATTATGTATTAATGCATTGATCTGCTTTTTTGAAATCTGAAAACATTCTGAATTTCAAAATACACCTGAGCCAGGGGTCCAGGTAAGGGGTTGTGGATGAGTGGCTATATTTGTTCTCCACTTCACTCCATTTGGTTTTGGTCTCCTTGGTGCAGGAGTTACCGACGACCATGGCTGCTCACACGCAATAAGAAGGGGCCTCGGAGAACACCTGACCCGAGGCTCTTCACCAGGAGTGGGTGTCAGACTCTGACCAGGTGACGCACGGGCCTCTGGGCTTTTACAAAGCTCCCAGGGGATTCTGATCCACAGTCAGAGCCACTGGCCAGGCCCCAGACATGAGGCCTTGGTGGGCACATGGACTGGCCAAGGGCAGACAGGGTCAGGAGCACAGCTGGGCAGAACACTGCACACCCTGAGCCTGGGTCCCTCCGACACCCAGTCAGCTCCCTCCCCACCTCTGCCAGGTCTTGGGAGAACCGGGAGAGGAGCCAAGAGACACAGTGCAAAAGCCCAAGTTTTGGCCACCCCGCCCCCACAACCTGACCTTTCCTTGGCCACACCTCCCCCGACTTCATCAAAGCATCTGAACTTTTCAAACTGGCCTGGTTCAGTTTTCCCACGTTCTTACCTGTAAAGCCCTAAACAAAGGCTGCGCTGGGGGCATAAGCAGTTAAAGAGCACTTTTGCCAGGAACCTGACTCAGGACAGGCTGACCTAATCTCTCCACTAGGCCTCACTGTCTTCATCTGTAAAATGGGATAATAATTGTATCCACCTTTCCAAGGCTCTTCTGAAGACCCAAGGAAAGAGGCACATAGTAGGTTCAAACTAGTTGCTTAAGGTGGCACGCTGATGATCGTGTGGATGTCATACCTGTAGTTACTGATATTTTAAATATTGTATATATGTGTAAAACGTGTATTTACATACGCATATACCTTATTTTTTGGACTATAAGGCGCACCCTCCCCGCCCCCCCCCCAAATTTGGGAGGAATAATGGTTGTTAATGCTGCTGCTGAGTTCTGTTTATATTTACATTGGTGAAATATTATGTTATTTATGTTATTAAATATTTTACTGCATTTTTTTCCTTCAAAATTTTTTCCCCTATTTTCCTCCTCTAAAGCCCAGGTGCATCTTATGGTCTGAAAAATACAGTCTTCATTGATAAATATATGCATGTTCAATGAAATCTAAATATATCACCGATAAATACATACATATACAAACATAGATATCTTTGTTCCCTTTAAAACTGTTCTCGGCAAACAGTACAAGGTAATGGGAAATACTGTGGAAGGAGGTATATTCATATAGAAGTTCATCATTTACTAAGAAAGTTTACGTTCAGTATTACAAAAAAGCCTTTTGGAACATTATTGACAGTGCCTCTTACTCCTGAGGTAGAAAGCAGTGTTACCCGCACTTCACAGAGAAGGAGGACCAGGCTTCGAGACACGAAGCACTTCACACTGGGCCTCACAGTAAGCAAGGGGCCCAGCTGGGCCCGAGGCTCTCCCCGCCCTGGACAGCCTTCTGCTGTGGCAGCCGCCATCTGTCTGGGGCTACTTCTCCCACCAAGAGTCAGAAGGAACAGCAGCTGGGGGCATAAGCAAGGACTGCAAGGAGAGGGTGTGGAAGCTGAGGTCCAGAGAGATGAGGTCACTGGCCCAAAACCACAGGTTCCTCTCACCCTTGTCTCCCATCATAGGTCCCTCCCTGGCACCTTCTTCCCCCTGACCCCTCACCTCAGGTTCTCAGAGAGACAGGCGGTGCAGCAGAGGGCTCTGGGTTCTGGTGGGTCCTGGCAGGCGATGGGGGGGCACCCAAAGGGAAACTCGTTCTCATCAGGGGCTGGGCGGGGGCCGCTGGTTGAGCCAGAGGCCATCCTGAGGTCCCAGCCTGGCCAGGGGGGCCGGCTAAGCTCCTCTGGGGAGGGGACCAGCCTCGTGGAGTCTGTGCTGGGAGCAGAGGTGAGCTCTGGTGTGGGCCAACCTCTCTGGCGAGCAGGGTTCTGATGACTTTATCTTCTCACTGACTTGGGTGGTTCGACGTCACAGCTGAGTCACAGCAGGGATGGAGCAGGAATTACCCTTTGTGGTGAAAAGAGAAAATCCCCTGGATGCTGACTGCAGGCTCGAGGAGTGTCCAGTCATTCTTCAGAGTGACAGAGAGCAAGAGAGCGAGTCAGAGAGAAAACAACCACCGTGGCACGGACTTTCAGGAACCGCAGTCAGAGTTCCCCTGTCGGAGAACCTCAGGCTGCCGCTGGCTTCCTCCAACCTTTCCTCCCGCCCCAGGGAACCTCAGCACAGAGAGCCACGGCTGGTGACTTGTCTCTGTTCCCTGGGGCCTCTGAACAGCCTGGAATTCTGGGTGGGAGTGCTCGCTGTCCCGGTGGAAATCCCCAGGTCCTGGTGTCAGATCCAAAAAGGCAAGTTCCAGGCGCGTTGGCTCTGGCCCGTCCAGGGTCTCAGGTAAAATCACTTCCTCAGAGCAGGTCTCAGTTACCCCATCTGTAAAAAAATGAGCTGCAACAGATGGTCTCCAAGGCTCCTCTGGGCTCTAAGATCCTGGGACCCTGTGGGCAAGGCAACCAGACAGAGGAGGAAGCTTCTGATGGCCCTGCCAGTGGCATTCCTCATCTGTCCCCATGACAACGCAGGGCCCTCCCCTTCTTTCAAGTCCGAGGCCTCCTAACCATACATGGCTCAGGGTGCTCCTCAAGGCCCCATGCAGGAAGTCATAGATGGCCACATACCCAGGTCAGGCACTACCACTTCCTGGCCCTGGGGAGAGCAAAGCTCTAAATAAATACAAGGCCACAGGGAGCTGGTGGTCTCAGTGGCCAAGTGGGACGCAGATCCACTGTTGTGTGGGAACCATGGCTCCTGGAGTGTCTGCAGTGGGCTGGGCAATGTTTCCCTTCCTATTCCTTCAAGCAACCTGCTGGAAATTCTGCGGCCACATATAGGCACAGAGAAGCAAGACGCCTGGTCCAAAGTCACACAGCCCCTGGCAGTGGAGCAGGATTCGTGCCACGTCTGTGGGACGCCAAGCTCCGTGTTCCTTCACCCACACGAGAGATGACAGCAAGGCCAAGCAGCGGGGGGACTACAGAGACCTGGATGGAGGCAGGAGCACCCACCCTCTGCTTTTTCACCTACCAAATGGAAAAGATGATCTTTCCACTTCTTTCCATCCTGCTGGGCAGCTAGTGAGGGGTTTGCAATCTTTTATAATGGTTTCAGATCATGGGCTTTGAGGTCTGAGAAATCTGAGCTTAGATCTTAAGAATACCATTTTACTAGCTGTGCATCCTGGGACAAGCTCTTAAACTTCCGAAGCTCAGTTTCTGCATCTGTAAAATGGGGATAACAATAATACCGACTTCACCCTCACCTGTTGTGACTAAACGAGGTCGTGGGTGAGAGTGCGGCGTGATGCATGGCCCAACTGAGGTACTCAAAAGGCTTTGACACTTATTCTGATGATGGCCACAGGCCTCCCAGCTCCTCAAGATCAGGGGAAAGGCTTCAAGTGGTAACTGATGCTTATAATATGGTGTTGTCCCACCTATGAACTTTATTTGAGCCTTGCAAGTGGGCAAAACAGGTCAGATGCTACCCCCTTTCCTGGAGCAAAACTGGAGCTACCACGGGCTGCTGGCAAAGAGGGCATGGCACCCTGGCACTGCAGGGTAACCCGGAACCTCCACCCTCCCCTGGGCCAGCCCTGGCCTGGCCCTCTCAGCAAATGACCCTGAGGCGTGCTTCAGAAAAGACTGTCAGAAAGAAAGGCACTCCCTTCACCGTGTGCCCCAAACTTGCAAACTTCTCCGTATCCCCAACTGTTCTTCCCTCTTCCCTTGGTTTGACACAGACAGCCACCTAAGACTTCTCTCCCCATCCAAACTCTGGGTCCCCTTCTGCCTGATGCCCTTCCTCTCCCCTCTGTCTTCAATGCTTCCCTCTCCATCAGCATCAAAATAGGCCCCAGCTGCTCCAACAATAAAAATGGTAAGTACTACTTTTTAGTGCTGGGCGAAGTGCTTTCATAGGCACCGCCTCATCTGATCTCCACTTAGGCTGTGAGGCTGGTACTGTCATCATCTCCATTTGCAGATGAAGGCTCAAAGAGGGTAAGTGATTGCCCAAGGTCTCACAGTGAGTGGGGACTCCGGAACCCAGAGCCTGGGCTCTAAGCCCACATCGTGCTTGGAAACGCTCTTCACCCTCGTCCCAGTTCCCCCGTCGTATCTACACTCTCTCCTCACTTGAAGAGAACTTCTAGCAAAGACTGCCTGCACAGATGCTCCACCGCCCCAAGGTTCTCAATGTCAGAGTCGCCAGCGTCCTAGGCCTGCCCCAGTTGTCATTCAACCAGCCCTCTGGCCAGCACCTGGCATGACTCCGAGCCCCTCCTTTCGAATTCTCTTCCTCTCTGGGCCCCCGGGGATTCATCTCTGTGGCTTTGCCCCCCGGATCCGCACACGCGCAGCCTCTCAGCCGCGCAGCCACTCCTCCCCAACTTGTTTTCCCGGGCCCACCTGGGCCATATCCCACTTTCCCTGGGAGTCTCTGTAGGCCGCCCGAAGGATGGGGCTGGGCGCCCGCCTTTGCGATTCCGTTGCCTCCCGCAACCCGGGTTGCCTGTGTGGCCCCCAGCTCCGTCCCCGCCAACCCCACTTCGACAGGTGTCTGCCCTCTCGCCACCGCCACTACTCCTGTTGAGTAAGCAGCGAGCAGCGCCAGCGACCATTCACGGATGAGCTAACAACCCCAGCGGTGCCCGGGCGCCCGCAGAAAGGGCTGGGGCAGCGAGTCCCGGCTGGGCTCTGCAGCCGCGCCTCCGGGGCCCGGGCCGCGCGTGGGGAGCCCCGCTCTGGGGAGCCCCCGCCCGAGCGAGCGGCACCTGGGACTTCCAGGGCGGGGAGCGCGGGGCCCGGGGCGGGGGCCGGCACCGCCCGCAGTGCCCGGGCGGCGTGGGGGTGGGGCGGGTGTGGGGTGGGGGCGGGGTGCAGTGCGACCAACCTCGGCGCCTCCGCCGCAGCCACCGCCTCCCCGCGGCCCAGCGCAGGCTTCCGGTGGGGCCCGGAGGACGTAGCCGGGCGGCGGAAGCCGGAGAGAGCGGGGGCGGGTCTCCGCAGCCCGAGCCGGCTCGGGGGGCCACCCCGGGGGCGAGGCGGGGCCTCCCCGTGACGGGGAAACTGAGGCCTGCGCCACCCCTGGCTCTTGCCTGCCAGAAACCCCGCGTGGAGGTGGGGCGAGCACGCGCGGACCGAGTCCTGCCGCCTTGGATTCTTGCGAAGAGGCTGGCGCAATGCCAGGCTCATCCACCCTTTCTGATTGGCGCAATAAGCAAAGGGCCGGTACAAATTGGTGTATAGGCAGGGTGCTTTTACAAAACTGGATGCTTCTAGGAACCATGTCTGTTTTCGTCTATAACACACACACAGACACTTATTCCCTATGAATTTGTGTTTTCAATGAAAATACTTAGGGAATTGGTGTTGAGACAGAATTTTTGTTATGAAATACAACCTTCCTTTATTTTTGCGAATTTGACGAAGGCTTCTTGAAGGTCTGCAGGACTGTCAGCTGAGGGGTGAGCTGCCTACTTTGTTGGTTTAGGTTTGTTTTAGTTACCTGGAGGCACCCATTAAATTTTCTTTAGGTGTTAGGGTCCCTTTTTTTGTCTTGACACCCAGCTGGAGTTGGAAACTGTGTTTTAGTTCTTTGGTGTTTGTTTGTTTGTTTTTGCACCTGGGACCACCTTCTGACACAGAAGCTTGCAGGGCAGACGCCCTCCCGTGAAAGGAGGGCCTCTGGGTCCTCCCCCAGGGGAGACACCTGTTCTGGACCAGCAGGAGGTCTCCCGGAGCCTCCAAGACAGGCAATCCGTCGGAGGTTGCCCAGACATGGTCTCTGTGGAGACTTTCAGTTCTAAGGGGGAAAAAAGGACTCAGAGTGTTGAGTCTCTGATTTAAAAATTCATTGATTCTCAGTCCACTCCATGAAGGATTTGGGGCCTACCAAAGCCATTCTCTGGTCTCACTTCTCTCCCACCCACCCCTTCCTCTCTGCCCCAAACCAGCGTAAATGAACAGGCAGGCAGCCTGACCTCACCCCCTTCATGTGCCACATCCTGTTTTCAGATTAATGAGCTCATTTGGTGGAAATTTACCAAGGGAAATAGTTTAATTTTGGAAAGTACCAAAAACTTATCTGTAGTCACTCAGCTTATTTCGGGGGGCTCTTGAAGTAGAGGGGGCATCACCGGGGGACCTCTGAGAGCTCAGGGAGCGGCAAGGCCGCAGAAATCGAAAGCCAAGCCTCATGGGGCTGAACCTGACTCAGAAAGGAAATGAAACCCTCTGGAGACCACTCATGTCTACCCAGGAGAAAAAATTTTCTTTCAAAAATAAACTTAACAAGAAAAGTAGTCCATCTGGCTAAGGCCTACCATCTGGTGGTCTGAGCGTGGGACCATGATTGTGAAAGAAGAAAGTCAACCCAGGAGAGAAGGGCCCGGTGGGGCCCCAGCGGTCCCTTCCACGCCCATGTCTGCTCCACCTTCAGAGAGGAACCAAAAGGCTTTCCTTCTCCAGTTGGGTCCTGATCCTTTAGCTGTCAGGCTCTTGACATTAAAGTTGCCTGCCTAGCCTTACAGCCTTTTGAGCTCCTGGCTCCTGCAAGGAGCTAAGGACTGAAGGGTAAGGAGGACTTGGAAATTAGTTTTGTGAGCCATTCTGCACTGAAGATGGTGGAGCACCTGGGACCCCTCCCTCAGGGTCTGAGCACCTCCCGGCCTGCCCTGTTTCCTAGAGTAGAGATTTGTAATCCTCTTGCAGATGCAGAATAGAAACACGGTGAACACTGACAAGGCCCTGACAAGTGGGATGAAAGGAACTGTGCCTCCCTTCCTTCCCTTGGCCCCTGTCTGGAACCTGTAGCGAGGTACTGGAGGTTGTGTTTCTATATTGAAATGAGCCGTGGACTAGAGGTCAGGAGATGTATGTTCTGGGTTCCCCCCCAGCCACGAAACCAGTTGTTGGGGGTGGGGGTGGGGAGTATAGGGTGGGAAGATAAATAAATGAATGCTTAAGCAGTAATTTAAAAAACTATAGCTCATACATTTTTTTTTTAAACAGAAAACGATCATAAAGGTCATAGAACATGTTAGGTTTTTCAAACTTTGTGTTAGTTGTAGGACGGTGTCTTTGAATACGTTCTCTCGTGGAGCCCAAATATATAAACTGGCTACAAGCAGAGATGCTTTGTGAAGCAGAGCGCGTGGCCAGGGGTCTGTGCACGGGGCTTCTCTCCTCCCCATCCTGATCTCTTGGCTCTAGGTGCGCCGTTTGAAAAGCACGAGCCTTAAAAGACATTTAAAAAAGAAAATCATGAACCTAATGAGAAATGAAAACTGGGATGGTCTCCTGGACTGGCTTGCCTCCGCTGTCCTGGTCTGTTCAAGTTTTCTCTGACAACTGCTTTTCCACATGTCATACAGTTCAGGATGCCTGTAGCCAAAGGCAGCAGAGGAGGGAGAGATTACACCGGCCTGAGGGAGGCGGGCCCAGACTAGAGCCTAAGCATCTGGAGGACTGGGGTCTGTGGTTGTGATTAAAAATAGGAACCGGGACAGTAATAGTGAATGCTCTTTATTTCCTAGGAGAGACTGCTCTGAGGGTATCACATGAATTGCTCCATTTACTACAAATCACCAAGAAGAGGTGAGAAAACTATTTTTCTACTGTCCAGATGGGAAAACTAAGGCTTAGAGAGTCTGCTAACTTGGTCAAGGTTGAGCAGCCAGAATTAGCAACCCCCTGGAATGAGGGAGGGCAGTCACTCCAGGCTTTGCGTGTTTTTTCCACTGGTTCACACCGAGCTGGTATCTCACCTGGCTTCTCACTGGCGAGTTGTGAGTGGTTCCCCCTCTCTGGGCCTCCGATTCCTCGTTTGTCAGGTGACAAGAATGGGAGAGTTAACCCCCCACCCCCCGCACCCCTGATCCTTTGCTCACTGCCGCTCTCAGCTTACAAAATCCAGGCCTGGGGTGCAGGAAGGGGGCCACCTAACTCCTACCCCAGCCAATAGCCCAGCCTAGTCTCCAGTCTCCTAACTCTTGGCGTTTCTTTAACAAGAGACAGATCGCCATGTCCTTCAGGGAGAGCGGAGGAGAGGAGCGGAGCCCAGTCGTGGTGACCCCCCACTTCAGGGTAAGTGTCAGGAGCAGAGTCTTCTCTGAGGGCTGGCTGGAGAGGAGAAGGAAGCCGAGAGCCCAGTCTGGGGGGAGGTAGGCGCCGTGGAGGGTGGAAGGGAAGGATGGGGGTCACCGCTGCTGCAGACATTGTCATCGACTTCACCCCCCACGTATTTATTGCGAAGGCTTCGAGTGTGTTCGGCCATGAGCAGGGCCCCAGACTATAGCCGGGAATGAGGCACACGGGGCTCTTAGCCTCACGACTGCTACGTCCTCGACGTGAACGAACCCAGCGAGTGCATCCTAAGACAGCCACGCTCCTGTGGGTCAACATCCCGTGGAGCCCAGGATGGGCTGCCACTCCCTCTGCTCATAGAAACCCAGCTGTGCCCTGCATTGCTTCTATCCGTTGCCAGCATCGTGCCTCGTCCCCATCATATCCATGGCTTATGCTTAGCAAAAACAACTAGCGAAGAGCTTTCCTGTCAGCATCGTCTTAGTCTCCTCTGATAGCTTCTGGTTCCTGATGCAGAACATTTAATTAGACAGATGACTATTGGCTCTCAGTCTCCAGTAGATGAGAAGACCAAACGGTGCTGGGTTCATCAACCCAGATTCCGTACCTCCCCGGTGGTAACTTATATGCAGCTAATATCAACAGCAACACGAAGAAACACAGCGAGTGACACTGTAAAAACTCCAGCCTACACTATGCACCTTCTGCTCTGGTGACGATTAAAAATGCCCCAGGCTTCCTTCTCTGGATCTTCATCCTGGTTTTTACTGCACTTGTAACTAGCAATTCACAAAATGCACCTGTCCACTAGCTTTTTGCGGGGCGCATAGGAAGCATCCAATAAACATTTGTTCGGTGAATGGCTAAGACGGAAGAGATTACCCACACACATTTTTACTGACATTAACAATAGTTAATGATGATGTCACCTACCACCATCAGAAAACATGTATTAAGCACCTTTGGCCTGGCCTTTTTGAGGGTGTTACACAGTTAGAAATAGCATTGTAACAAACTTTTGCAAAGAAATCTGGGGTTGTTTGTTGGAGGGAGTTTCTACAGCTGGTGATTTTTGCCATCTCATCGGGTTTCCAGATTTTCAGGACAGAAACCCAGCACCCGTGAGGGTCTTTGAACTGCAGGCTCGAGAACTGCCCCTAGGGTTTTTCCGGTTATTTGTGGGACTGGCCCCTTTGAAAGTGCCGTGGGGATTTCGGCATAGCATGGGGGCACCCACGGCACTCACGGGGATGGTGACGTGGTCCGGGCGAGCCGCTTGGCAGACAGGCCTCTCGAGAAGAGAAGCTCCCTAAGATGCCAATAGCGTGGAAGGCAGATATCCTTGGATTAAGACCAGCCAACCTGCTGCTTCTCTTTGCCAGCACTGGCCACCCCGTGCCCTGTCCTAAAAGGTCAGTGCAGCTGGGGGGCAGATTCCCACTTGCATGGACTCTGGCCATACAGGCTCTCCCGAAGGTGGACACCCCAGGCCCCCAAGGCCCTTCGCTGGGCTATGAAGTCCCTGTTCTTGTCTCACACTCACCTCTGCGAAGTCGGGTTTCCTGGGCTCTGGGCTGGTGCAGGTGAGAATCACTCAACCTTCTGGCTCAGCAGCAGTCACCTTCTGGCAGAGGATGGGTACAGCCTGGCGGTCCCTATCCCATCCTGAGGACCCGGCCTGACAGAGAAAATGAGGGAGCGGGGGAGCCCTTCCTCAGGAAGCAGGACGTCTGCCTGCTCTGCTGTCCACTGCAGGAAAGTCCCTCCCATCCTGCTGTCGCATTTTCCTCATCTGCAAAGTGGGAGAGTGACCTCAGAGGAATCCTGCCGGGCCAACCCTGTGCCCACGAACCCCCTGGTGCTGTGGAAGGGGCACAGCGCGCCCACCTGTCTAGGAGCTGCTCCCCTCACCTGCACCGGGAACCTTCATAACAGATGCTGGAAGCTTCCACTAGATGCCCCGGTCTTTTGGGACTCCAGACATTACTTTTTCCCCCAAGAAAAAGAATGTGAAGCACTCTTTTTTTTTTTTGAGAGCTCAGGCCAGATGAATTCCCAGCACAAGGCAGGACCTGGAAGCAGGTCTGCAGGGTGGGGAGTGAGAGGCTGAGAACCAAGCGAGCGGCAGCCGGGGGTGCCTCCGAGAATGCCCACGCTGGGGGCAGAGAGGGCCGGCTGCAGGGCTGGTGTGTGCTAGTCTCCTCTGACACGCTCCCTGGACAAAGTGGGAAACGGGCCCAGGGAGAGGCAGGGGCTCACACAGTAGGGCCGACGTCCAGAGGCTTCTATGTTCTGGTGCCATTTTGTCCCAAAACGTCTCAGTAATGCCCTACCCTTTTTTGTTCCTGCAGTCACATGTCTTTGGACATCTGTCCACTTCTCCACAGAAGGGCCTGAGAACAGGGCACGTTTGTGTTGGTGGGCGCCGTGTGCCTGGCGCACATCTTGGGCACCAGCAGTGTGGGGTCGAGGGGGGCACGGTAAATACCTATTAAGAGAGACCGGTTTGCCGTTTTAACAGGATCCAGGAAAATATCATTTCCACCTTTCACCTCTGTGGGTTCCCAAAATGTATTTAACGAACACATTTTTAGCTTCTACTATGAGTCAGTTTGCTCCTTTTTAAAAGAACCGTGGTATATACAGCTAGCAACAGTTTCTGGGGAGATCATTGCCTTAATCATTTTGGAACTGTAACTGAGGAAGTTTTAAAATGAAAAACCCGATGGACAAAAAAGCCATTCTGTCTAGCTGCCATCCTCGGTTTCTGTTTTCTGTAACCAGTGTCCAGCCCCTGGGCCAGAGAGCCTGGGGGAGGGCCCACGGCTCTCCCTGGCCGCCGTGATCGCTGAAACCAGAGCGGCCCGGGGAGGCCGGGGCCCTGGCACCCGCTCCTGCCTGGTCCTGCTTCTCCTTTCACAGAAAATATGTCTGCACATGAGCCCTCCCAAGCCACCTGGGCACTCCTCCAAGGACAGGCCTGGAGACGGGCCAGGAGAGAGGGTGCTCCTGGGAAGGACACATCAGTGGGAAGCAGAGACCGTGCCATGCAGGCGCGCACACGCAAAGGCTCGCAGGACAGCCAGACCCTGTGAAGTTTCAAGAGAAACTGGAAATCAGGTTTTGGTTTTTTTACGTGAAATGCCTTGATTTTTAGAACACTCTAGGAGCCCCAAACAACCCCAGACTCAAACCAAACGATCGTCCCCACACACCGTGTCTGCGGACAACTCTCTGCAACCTCAGACAGAGCCCCGCTCGCCACACAGACACCCCGAGCAGAGGGGCCAACGCCCTGCAGGACGTTCACGGACCAGACTCTGCCCACAGCGTGTGTTTATCCAGGTGCAGACCCTGAGTGCTCACAGCGGAGACCAGTCCCTGAACATTTACGCACACATTGTCTCCTAGGATGGTGTTGTGACGTATTCACCTTCCAGCCAAGGGGACTCAGTGTTGGAGATCTCCAAGGTCATGGAGACTCGCAGCCCTCGGCTGCAAAGCCAGTGGTCTGAATGGCCACACAAACCGCCTCCCAGACGCCTGCACAGGGAACGGGATTGCCTGCTAATCTGCCTCCCCCCCTCACTAAACTCAGCTCTGCGTGCGGACTTCTATTTGCTGCTGCATCCCCATCACCTGGGCCTGTGCCCCGCGGAACCAGAAGGTGCTCAGTAGTACTTGCGGGATTGTGCGTAGGCACACACCAACCCCCACGCACGCACGTAGACCGACCTTGCCCGAGGACACCTGACGACCCCTCGCGTTCCCACAGGCACCCCACCCACACCCACCCCCCAGCCCCCACACCCACCTCCCACCCCCCAGGGCACCAGACCCAGCGGGGCCCCGGCAGGTCCCCGGGGCAGCCTTGCCCAAAGCCTTCACAAATTGTTTCCTGGAAATCTCGAGGCGGCTGTGGTGTTCTTTTTCCCTAACTCAGGAGACAGCTCAGCAGTTTTGTTTTTCAAAGTCTGGGACTCATAAACCTGGATCCTTCGTTTTTTCCACTAGAATTTTCCTTGGCCTGGTGCCTTTCCCCAGGGCCTTGGCCTGGAGGTTGTGCTCAGAGCGCCCTCTGCTGGGCACCATCTTCTCAACCTAGTGGACAGTGGCCGGGGGTGGGGGAAGGAGGATAGGACCTGCCTCAGGCCCGACAGCTTTAGGGACGGGGGAAACTGAGTCAGATGGCAGTAATGGACAGAGGTTGGGGCAGTGGGGCTCATGCCAAGGATATGCCAGGTTTTGTGGTTTTTTCTTTTCATTGCTGAACATAGTAAAAGAATAAACGGCTTCTAGAGCTCAGACACGGCCAGGAAAGACCCTGTGCTCTCTCCAGGGCCTCTGCATTGGCAGAGTTTAACTTTGCACATGAGCCCTCCCAAGCCACCTGGGCACTCCTCCAAGGACAGGCAAAGTTAAACATCAGGTTTAACTTTGTCCTTGAATCGCCACCACAGGTAACAGGCAAGGACACTGAGACACAGAGAGACGTCGGGAGAGGAGGAGTGGGAGGGGTATTTACTGAGCATCTGCTAGGTGCTAGCTAGGCTTGCAAATCCTCTCCCATTTAATCTTCACAGCGACCTTGTAAGGTAGGTGGCTTTGTTTCCATTTCACAGATTAAGACATAGAGGCTGAGCGAGGTCTCGAGATCAGAAAGGGAAGGGGGAGAGTGGAGACTGGAATCCAACCTGCTGTGTTCTTGGCTTGGCGGCCTGCTGGATTTTTCCCACTTGGCTCCACTGGGCCCGGGGTGGAGCCTTGGTGGCCGGGCTCACAGGGGCAAGGTTTTTATGGTTCTGCCGGTCAGAAAGGGAAGCCCCTATCCCCGGCCTCTTCCAGGGGCTGCGTTGGGGGCCGAGGGCAGATGGGTCGAGCAGCCCCATCAGGCCTGAAGCCCCAGAGCTGGGGGAGGGGGGTCCTGGGACAGCCAGCTGCTCCAAAGCCCCTTCACTCCCAGTAAAAACAGGATTGGATGTCTTTACAAACTGAACTCGTGGGAGGTTCCAAAGGGCAAGGGTTTTCCTGGAAAAGAAAGCAGGTCCTGGAAGGTTTTTGTTCTGTTTTTCTTCTTAATGATGTTCTGGTTAATGACACAAGGGAATGAAGAACACATTTCACTAAGAATTAGTCGCTGCCCTTCTCCAACCATCCTCCATTCCCTGCTCAAAACCTTCAGAACTTCTCACTTCCTGCGGGAAAAAATCCAGCCCCTTGCTCTTGTTCTGCTTTTTGGGTCTGGCGTGGCCTTCTCGTCCACTTGTCTCATTTAAACAGCCCCCGCCCCAGGGGTGTCTGTGTCCCTCCCTTCATTCCCTTCACTGGACACTTCCTCACATTATTTCCTCTCTCTGAAAAGATGTCTTTGCAGCTTATCCATTTCTTAGTCATCCTTCAAGGCCCCGCTCAGAGGTCACCTTGTCCACAGAGCCTTCTCCACTGTGCCCGATGGGAACCGCCCTGCCTTGTGCCAGCCAGCCTTAGGGACACGTGTTCTGGTTCCCCGGGGATCCGTCTTGGATGCCCCTATGCGGGTGTGGGTGTGTGTGCGTGCCCACCCTCTACACTGCTGAGCAGGACGGTGCTATAGAAAGAGTCCCGGGACCCCAGCTGTGCCACCAGGAGAGCAGGGTGGAACAAAGATGTCGATGGAGAAAGCTGCCGTGTGTCTCCCCTCCTCAAGTCAAGAGAGAGGGGCTTTGTGGAGTCACGTAGAGAGCTGAGCGCGTGTCCACGGCAGTCTGAGATGGGGAGACACGGTGGACCGTATCCGACAGCCACCAGAAAAACCCGGAGGGTGAGAGACGGGGGCCGTCTCAGACAAACAAGGCCAAGGACAGGCGGCACTGCTGGGGTCAGCCCAAGCACCCAAAGCTGGCTTGGGTGCAGGACGTGGCGCCCATGGACCACAGGTGGGCCATGTAAGGGAGAACTGATGTGAAGCCCTCTTTGGTCTGTTTGGGGGCCGGGCGGGGGCACACACTGAAGGGACCGCTGACTTCCTTGGGCTGCAGAAGAACCGAATGATGGGGTGCAAGGTGGGGTGGCGCCCACACGAGGGTGAGAGGTCCTCAGAGCACCGTCTGAAGATTCCATGCCTGTTCCCACACAGAGTCATCTTTAAAGACTTCTTACGAGAGCACTGGCCAGGCAAGGGCTCTCCTGCTCCCCTCTCTTCTGCCTCTCCTCACTACCCCACCCCTGTAGCCCTGGAGAGGTCAGCAGTCACAGCCCGCCAGCTGGGGAGGGGGCCTGGGGGAGGAAAGAAGCAGCTGTCCGTGTCCCTGTCCCCAGCTGTAGGGGTCCCGCCTGCAGCAAGCACTGGGTGGGAGAAAATTTTGAACTTTAAATCAAATTTGGAATTGTTCTTTTTTGCGGGGACTGAGCATATAATTTAGGAATAGAGGACTTGTACTTTCCTACCAGTGGTCAGAAAAGCTGTAGCGTGAGTTTTCACTAATGGGCAGAGGGAGGACTTCCCTCCCTTTCCTCCGAATAAATGTTTATGGGGGCTGGGAGACAAAGTGAAGTTAACTGATGACTGTGCACCGAGAGTCTAGTTTACTCAGGGTGTCGATTCTAACTGCTGTTGTAAGGCGGGTTGTCTCCCTCCACTGCACTTTTCTAACTGCTGGTGTTTGCTTCTCTCACCTCTTCCAGAGCGATGACGTCCCCGCGCTCACCTCACGTACAGCAACTGAGCCACCCCCTGAGTGTTCAGCTGTGCTTCGGCGGCAGACCCCTATCTTCTGGGGGTTTTAAGGGACCTCATGTCCAAAGGTCGATGAACTCGGTATCAACGCGCCTTTACTGCTAGGTCCCGCGTGACAGTCGAGTTCCGATTCTGTTTTCTATCAAATGGAACAGACCTGAATGCACATGTCCCCTGCGCCAAGTGTGGTGCTTAAGGACCCAGAGAAGAATGTTCCCTGTCCTCAACGAGTTCACGAAATTGGAACTCTCCAGGGAGAGCTCCAGTGCAGGTGTGCTCACAGAGCATGACTTTTGGGAGGTGTCACTGGGTCTGCCATCCCTGGATGCTGCCGCAGTGCCTATGGTAAGGGTCTGCCCCAGGCTGCCCCAGGCTTTGGCAAAGGTCAGCTCTTCCAAGAAGTCCTCCTTGCCGGGTTCCTCTTGCATGCTGACTGCTTCTTTACTCTGCCATCTCAGGGCCTTGCAGTTCAGCCTTGTGTTCCCTTACCCTGGTGCCACAGGCACGCTGAACCAACGTAACCTGCAGGAGACAGCAACATGCAGCCTGCCCCAGGCCATTCAGGAGAGCTGGAGCGGGACCCGAACCCAGAGAGCTCGACACCGGCTTCTCGTCCAGACAGTTATCACACAGTGGCAATCACTGGCTTTGTGTGTGTGTGTGTGTGTGTGTGTGTGTGTGTGTGTGTGAGAGAGAGAGAGAGAGAGAGAGAGAGAGAGCTTATCATAAGCATCTTCCAGGTTGCTACCTAGTTTTTTTAAATAATGATTCTCTTTAGAGGCAGTGTACTATTTCATACAGTGTGTGTTCCATTATTTATGTGATGATCTCTCTCATTTTACGCCATCACTTTATATGGCATGTTTCATGTATCACATAAAGTACCTTGGTAAACCACAGTGCATTCCTTTATAATAGAACATAACTCTAGACTCACCTGTCCAGTTGCGACTTGATCTCTCCACATGGATGTCTAAAGATTTCCTCAAACACGACAAGGCCCCCACAGAAATCCTTGTTCTCTTCCCTGCTAGAGTCCTAACGCTGTCATACCAAAGGACCACGAACTGGATGGCTTGAAACGAAAGAAATCCATTCTCTCGCAGCTCTGCAGACAACAGAGGTCTGAGGTCCGGGTGCCAGCAGGGCTGGTTCCCCCTGAAGCTCCGGGGGAGAGTCTCCCCCGGGCCTGTCTGGCAGCTTCTGACGGGGGCCGGCAACCCTTGGCGCTCCTTACCTTGTAGCCACGTGGCGCCAGTCTCTGCCTGCCTTCACGTGGCTGGCCTCCCTCGAGTGGCTGTGTCTTCACCTGGAGCTCTCCTTCCTGTGTGCCTCTGTCCGCATGTCCAGATCTCCCTCCTTTTATAAGGACACCAGTCGTATTGGAGAAAAGGCCCCAGTATGACCTCAGCTCACCTTGACTAATTACACCGGCCAAAACCTGTCTCCAAATCAGGTCACATTCTGAGGTGCTGGGGGTTAGCATTTCAATCTGTCTTGTGGGGGGGACACTGTTCAACCCATGACATCTGCCCTCCTCGTTGTCCTAAATTTGCACGCTCTCCTGTCTTCCCCAGCCATATAAATAGCACCTGAAGTAGCTCAGGTGGAGAGTCCATGAGTAATCCTTGATTCTTCCGCATTCATCACTTCCATACTGACCTTCGGCAAACCCTTCGGTCCTACCTCCAAAAATATCCTGGATCCACCCCTTTCTCTTCATCTGCTTCTCTCCCACCCTGGTTCATCCACCACCACGCCCCCTCCGGACGGCTGCAGCAGTTCCTAACTGGGCTCCCTGCCCCTTTCTCCTTGACAGCCTGGCCTCACACCCTTGCTTGGTCCTCTCCACTGGATAAAGTCCAAACACCTCACCTGTGCTTACAAAGTCCTACTGATTTGGTGCCTCCCACCCCACCGACCCTGTTTCCCATCACTTGCTTTCCGTGACCCAGCCACACCAGCCTTCTTGCGGTTGCCTGGACCATGGGCCTCCCTTTCTGGAAGGCTCTCTCTGGGCCTTCATGTGGCTGCCCCTTCTTGTCATAAGAATCTCAGCTTAAATGTCATTTTGTTTAGTGACATTTGCCAGACTGTCCCTAACCACCCACTCCAGAGCAGCCACCCAGTTCTCTATCACAGACCTTTAATTTTCTGCCTCAAATTTAGTAGAGATATTACTTTCCTCATTTACGTGGGTTTTTATTATTTTTCTCTCCAGTTATAACACAGTCCCCAGGAGGGCAGGGCCTTGTTTAGCTTGATTCCACCACCTAGCACTGTGTCTGGCACACAGGAGGATCTCAAGAAACATTTATTGGACGAATAATTGCGCCTGCACAGAAGACCCTTGTGTACAAATTTTTCTTTCCCTTTTGGGAATTTACTTGATACAAATAATCTAACAGGAGAAGGATGAAGGGATGGAAACCTATTTTGGCTCTTGAAATCCATTGTCAAATCACTTTGCAAAGGGGTCAGGTCCGTTTTCATTGGTCAGGCAACCTTTGGAATCCCAAGTGCCAAGGCAGCGATTTCCGGTTTGCGGGGGAGGGAGGGAGGGCCTGGGGCAGAAGGGAGGGTGGTGGGTCAGGGTGCCCAACAGCAGCAGCAGTGACCAGGCTACTGAGCAGGCCCCTCATGCCAGTGCCTGTTGGGGTGAGCAACAGCTCACAGGCCCGCCTGGGGCAGCCTTCTGTGGCATGAACTTGGGATTGGCTATAGGGCTGACCCAAGTTCACCTGCTCTTCAGAGCATTCTAGCTAAAGAGGAAGTGGTGAGGGGGTGGAAGCGGAGGGCCCAAAGTGGGGCTTGGGTCCCCAGGCCCCTTTGCTGAAGCCGTTTCTGGGTTGGAGCTTTTCTGCTCAGGACGTGGAGTTCGGAACGTGAGGTGGTTCAAGCACCTCCGTTGTAAGCCTCCAGGAATAGAGAGGCCTGTTTTACACAGTTCTGCACACAGGCAGGCCCAGTCGGCAGTGCCCTGCCCCTGTCTCCGAGAATAGCTACAAGAGCTAAAGAAGTAAATGCACGTAAGGTGCTCAGCATAATGCCTGGCACATAACTGGCATCACCCAAGTGTCGGCCATTAGTCCTAGGCCATATATCTCCCTGGGCTGCAAGCTTCCCGGGGACAGAGGCTGTACTGGAGACAGAATAGTCTAGCACTAATGAGTCAGGCTGCCTGCGTCCCAAATCCTGGCTCACCACTTACCAGCTGAGTGACCTTGGGAAAATGACCTCCCTGTTCCTCAGTTTACTCCCCTGTAAAATGGGGATAACAGCAGCAAGTTCACTGGGTTGTTTTGTGGAGCGGCTGAGTGGATGAAGATTAATAACACAGAGCAGTACCCAACACATAGACGGACCTTCTTAGTGGGTGAATGGATGTTAACTCCTGCCCAGACCTGCCCTGGGCAGACCTGCCCTGGCACGTTCTGCAAAGTCAGCCTGTTGTTCTGTTCCCTTGGCACCGTTCGACCTCCTCTTTTCCCCTGAGCTCTCTGTTTGTCCCCAGAATTCCTTAGCCTTTCCTGCCCCCTGTTCCTAAAAGGCCTCGAGCACCACTACTCTCAACGGGACGGCTGGCTGCCAAAGGGCCACTTTCCTTCGCGCAAGACTCCTTGACTTTGCAGGACACTCTCTGACCTTGGGGGTCCAAAACCTGGACAGCGGGCCTCACCGGGGGGATGCAGAATCTTGGGCCACCCAAGACCTGCAAACTTAGAATTTGCATTTTGATGAGTTCTAAAACAATACTTCTTTACATCCCCATGACTATTCTCTAATTACCAATTCATATTTCTCAGTCCCTTCACCCTTTTCGCCCATTGAGTACCACATAGGGAACACAGTCAGTGATATTGTCATAACTATGTATGGCGTCCGATGGGTACTGGATTTTTCAGGGTGATCGCTTCGTAAGTTATATGTGTCAAATCACTAGGTTGTACAGCTGAAACTCATGTAATATTGTATGTCAACTGTAACTAAAAAAAATAAAAAATTACTTAAAAACAATACTTCTTAACTTTAATGTGCCTGTGGTGTTGAGATCCTTTTAAAATATAGGTTTCTGGGCTGTACTCCCAGAGTTTCTGATTCAGTGGGTATGAGGTGGGGCCTGAGAATCCGCATTTCTAACAGCTCCCAGGGCTGGGGTGGTGCTGGCCGGAGACTGCGCTCTGTGAAGCGCTGTTCTAAGACCCACAGCCCCCAGGACCCGAGCAATGAAGCTCCACCAGGGACGTTTGAGGCATCGGGGGAAACTGCTTTGAAAGACAGTGGGCCCTTTCCCAGTCTTTTAAGAGAACATCAGGTCTCTGCCTGTGGTATCTTCGCACAAAGATGCTTTTGATTATGAATGCTATTTCCATATTTGTTCAAAATTCCACAGTTTAAAAGTTCTTTCATTTGTTTGCTCTTATTTCATCTTGCAGCAACTCAGTAAGCTGAGCCAGTATTAGCTCAGCTTACCAGGAGGAAGTATTAGCTCATTTCCCAAAGAGAGAACTGAAGACCAGAGAGCTGAGAGTGACAGGCCTCGTGCGTGGCCAGCTCGCTGCCACCCACTGCCACCTGAGCGGGCACACAGGTGGTGTTTCTTATCCTTACCCCCTGCAGGGCCAACAGCGCTGCTCTTACTTTATAGAGGGGCAAACTGAAAGGCTTGAGGACGTTCAGGAACTTTCCCAAGCTCACAAATGAGGCGAGTTCTTACTCTTCACCGTGTCACTTCCCCGCAGTAGTAACTCCTTTCTTTGTGTCTCTGCCTGCCTGTCTGTCTGTGCGTGTGTGTGTGTGTCTCTCTCTCACACACACACACACACACACACACACAGTAGCCAAATTGAAGGGCTGTTTTAATTTTCACACTCAGCATGACTTAAGGAACAGGCCTCAGTAGCATTGCCTCTTGCCTTTAGCAGTGCGAGAAGGCAAGAGGAGCGTGAAGGATGACTCCCCCCGCCCAAGCCCCCGAAGACCTGGGAAACCTTCCTTCTGTTTCCTCTTCTCACTTGGGGCATAGCTCCTTTCTCGTTCTCTGCACTCAGAGAATTAGAATTCACTCTTGGCTCTGATTTCCTCAAAATTTTCTATTTGGAAAAAATTGATTAAACCAAGTAATTCTTTCTTCAGCTCCAATTTCTCTTGCCTTTGTCAACATCAACTCCTCTTCCATCTACCCCTGACAACACCAACAGAAAACACACACACACACACACTAATAACCCAAACTCCAGCCCAACAAAAACCCTCTTTCCAGGACAGTTTGGATTTCTCTCCTCTCATCTGCAAGAGATGTGAGCCCTGGACCCCATAGGGGCTCTGGTCTGTTGGGCCCAGCTGGTGGGATGATGCGGACCTCGGCTTGTGGCGCCCCAGTCATTATGGGTGAAATGAGACATTCACACGGATTACCGAATCCAGTGGAGGAAAAGGGACGGCATGGCTTTTTTCTCAAGGGGAGCAGAAGCCTTGACCCTCACTCCAGTGAGTTTTTATTGTCTTACTGTGCACATTACAAAAAGATCCTCATTAACTATGCACAGGCTTGCTTTAGGTGGTTACCTATACAGAAAACAAAGGAGCCAATGCTGCTAATCACATCACAGAAGAGGGATATTTGCAAATAAAAAGGCAAAAGTAGTTGAACCAGTAACACTCATCCTTGCAAGGTTTAGCATGGATTTTAGGAAGTTGCTTTGCAGTAAATGTCCTCAATTCAGGATGAGGGAGTTTTAGCAAAAAGCAAGACTCATAGCGGCCTAGGTACATCGCAGGCCTGATTCCCCACGGGAGAACCTATCCATGGGTGTGGGTCCTGTGCATCTCCGAGTGGGAGCTGGGCCCATGCCACACAGAACAGTCTACTACAGTGGGAGGTGATACC